TGAAAAAATTCGCGTGATATGTCCATTACGGAAAATCATCCAAAGTCGATACGACGACCAATTTCTTTTTGTCTAATTTTAAAATTGTACGAATTTTCAAAAAAATGAATCCGGAGGAAGCTTCTGGAGGTTGAAATTGGTAAAAGAAACTGAACTTTTAGCTGCACAAATTCAGACTTAGTAGATCCAGAATAATTTTATAAATGAGTTTCATTTCACATGTAGTTGGGTAACATTTAATAGAAATTTAGTTTTTATTTCTGACATGAAACTCTATTGAGGATATTTGATTATTAAATTGTTGAAAAAACTACTACTTATTCTATTTTACATGCAAATAGCGCCCGAGTCAATTTTCCGGTCGTAAAAATAAATAATAAAACAATTTAAGCAATTTGATGCCATAAATAAAACCTAAATAAATGTAGATTACTAATTACTAAGAAAAATAAAGTAAAGTAATTTTTTTTTAAATTGAATAAATTACATAAGCAATTTTCGTCGTCGTAACCCCACAGCCGAAGTCGCACTGTGCATTCGCAAACGAGAAAAACAAATTACACAAATCTTTCTTTATTTTGCCGATTGTTCTTCCACCCTCGCAAGTACACGCTTCCTGCAAACTCAACAGTGTTCCTTAATTGCTTTATTAACTTTATTAATTTTAAGCGTTTTATGTTTGACTTTACGCAGCAGTTAACTTTATCGTTATTGGTCTTGTACTTCAGTGTCAATACCGGTGAAACCTTTATCGCTGTGAATTTTGTGACTAAGGTTTGGCGTGACCGGATACCATGACAAAGTGTGTATTACTCTGTCCTGTGTGCTTTGTTATCGCAGATGACGAACTATCAGTGGAAATTCTGCGGTCGTTCTATTTAAATATATAGAACAAAGACACGCCGCTAGAAAAATGCCACAGATAAATATGTCTCGTGGTGGAGGAGAGCTCTCGGCCCGGTGACTTCCCCCGTACACAATATAACACGAGAACCCGTAAAAACGGAATCGTTGGCGCTCTCCGCCACAAAACCCGCCTTTAAAACCCCGACTTCCATATTTCAGTGCCCCTATCGATGCAAATCCAATAACTTACGCCCATTTACCAGCCGCGAGTTCAACCGGGGCCGTTTTCGCGTTTCGCCGCCGCATTATACGCGTGTGTGCGTAAACAGCGCCACAAACTTGTAACTTTATATCCGTGCAATGAAATTGCTTTTCCGTTCCTTGCCAAATCACGAAATCTGCAACAAAATCTCTGAAATTTTTATTTGTATTCTTGCGTTTGCTATTTATGTGATGGCACGTTCTCGGCATCTGGAAGCGAAAATGAAAAATTTTGACATGCTTGCGTGGAATAATGGATGGGGGCTCGATGGAATCGGGATGGTCGTAAAAGATGTATACGAATGGGGCTTTTGTAGTGGATGTTTCAGACGACTTGGCTAGGAATTAGCGAAATTGAGGTGTTAATTGGTTCGAACAAAAGGTGTATTGCGCGTTCGTGGTTTCTCTAATTAAGGTTTGGTTAATTGTTTCCAACGGTTTCTAGAATTTTACAATGGGCGCGATTTCACGCCGGTTGTGTGAGGTGTTTGATGAAAATTTTAGCGTGTTTTGAGGGATCGAGGATCGTGGATTATTTATCATGCGAATCAAGTGAAACTGTAAATTCCGAAACAAGTTTCTTTTAGAAAGATCTATTTTTAAATTATGATAAGCGTTATCTCTTTCACTTCATAAATAGTTGCACCGAAAATTGGTATTCCATGCCACGTTCTTTGACTGGATTTTTCTTTTCAGGTGAGCTCATCCTTCCCTCTCCCTCGGGACCTGAGTGAGTAAAAGTTCTCGCAGTCGGCTCCTTCCTCAACTTGCGCCACTGAAAAACGCAACTTTTTTATCGTTTCCTTGGTTAAAAACTCGTTATTGTCTTATCTTATAATTTTTGCAACCGGTCGCTTTATGCTTACTTAATGATAAACCAAACGAATTACAGTTTTGAATCGTATCTGAAAATTTAATTGTCTTTAAAAGCGACCATAAAATTAACTATTCGCAATTAAAACAAACTCCATACAGCCACCATTAACATTATTACCGAAGTAAAAATGCGATTTTTCCGGCACAAAATTTCCATAAAAAATAGACTCGGTGCAATTTCGGCGGCCCGAACTCTAACCCAATTCAGTATTTATAGCTCCTTCAAGTAAATGTTTAACAGAAACTCAAACAACCGTATTTATAAATAAGCAATAAAATAAATTAGTCGAATATCTGTTCCGCGACCCGTTGACCTTTCACTCCAATAAAACCTCTTTGTAAACATCTTATCTACACAGCAATTGCAAAAAACGAATTCCACCAGTTTTCACTCGCGGAACTGTTGACCCTTTTACTCTCGCGTACTTTCGTTCCGACAAAAATAATCGCCGGCCATTATTCCGAGGAATGAACAAACGCGAAATCTGTCACCGATGCATTCCTCCTTCCCCATTATAAATAAAACATTAGATACGCTCCGCTTGTTAAAAAATGTGGCGTTTTATTTATTACAATACAATGGGCGCTATCCGGATGTGGAGTCGAATCAATTCCGTTTTGTGAATAAAGGCGACCATAATTAGGCATGTGCGTGGACGGCGGAATCGCGATGGTGGGCTTCCACGTACCGCGAACCTATATCATCATCAGAGAGATCGCTGGCAGATCTCGGAAAAGAAGCCGGCCCGAAGGCGGAGCCGGAACGCACTCCAAAAAATTGTAAAATAAATCTTTTGATATCGCAACGGTTCGATTGAAGTATGCGAACTCGGTTTGAGATCGCGTTTCACAATATTTTTTTAAATGGGAGATTCGGCTTTGTTCGACGTGTTTTATTAATTTTTGCGATTTACAAAGGGTCGAACCGAAGTTCGGTGTTTACAAAGAGTTGATTAAATTTTAGGTATCGGTTGCACGGAATGTTTAACTTCGGAAAGTAAATTTCGTTGTGCGGTAGAATTTTTTTTGAAAACAGTTTATTTAGAATATTTTTAAATATGCGGTGTGAGAGAAACGAACGATTGTCAGTCAACGCAGCAGAATAAAGCAATAAATAAAAACAAGCCGCCTCCATTAACAAATGAACGTGAAGTAATCGAATCCGAATCCGTTCTTCGCCGAACAATAATATTTACAAACCTCAAGCCTGACGTGCAACTCGAGCTAAAATCAATCGGGTAATTCGACTACTTGGCTGGTACCAGCCCGTAAAGTATAAAGAGCTTTTTTACGATTGGCTGGTGAATAATCGCTCGTTAGAAAAACAAACGCTTTTCAATTAACTCTTATAAATTGGCATAAATCCGTTACGTTCCATAAACCCCGAACACCTCTCCGAATTATCATATCGCGAAATGCAGCCTCGGCTTCACTAGTGCCGGAATATCTTTTCCGGTACTAGTCACCTCTGTTTGATAAAAAATCGCAAGTGCGTTAACCCACAAAAATTCGGAAAAAGTGGAGCTCGCGCGCGAGCGAGATGTAGCTTGCGCCCGTGGAGCGAGCGGCACGTTCGATTGAGGATGCCGACGGCTGGAACTGTAAGTTTGTGCACGATTAATGCTAGAAATCCGCGACGATTCGACATTGAATATCTCGTTCAAAAAAATTAATTGCGTAGTATCACGGTCTTCGCTGTAAACGTATACACACAGGTTTCTTTGTAAACACATGAAACCTAATTATTTCGAGTCGGACGAGGAAGCAATCGTGTCGGATTGCGTGGTTTTGCCATGAATCACTTGTTGTTTGATACAAAATTGTTTTATTTACAGACGCGATGGACGCTAAGGTTATCGTTATCGGGTCTATTCTTAGCCCACGAGAACGGTTCCATTGTTCTGGCGCATCCTTCAATATTAGATTCCATCCAGTTGCCGATCTGTTCAAAATTCCCAAACACAAATTCATCAAAAAACGTAATTGCATCGGTTGTATTTAAATTAGTTATATCCTGCTCGCGTGGAATTGTCGAGATTGCATTTTTTATGTTTGTGTAATGACTGTATCCTGTTATTTTTTGGCTGGATTTTCTGCACGGCTACAAGTCGAAATAACACCGACGTGACTTCCGTCCCAAATGTGTTTTTAATTGGACTTTTAATTCGTCGATTATCGAAATTACGGAATCGGACGGGTCGATTTGCATGAGAAATCGATTGCTCGATGACAGGTGTTTGAATTTTTGACGCTGCGAGCGATTTATTTTTTAACAGTTGTTTGCCACGAACCGTATTAGAGCTAATCTACGCTGAATGAGAAGACGTTTTACTCATTCAATCTGTACGATGTGTAGGTTTCGCTAATCTAAATGCATTTTGTCGTTTATTATGATGGTCACGAATTTTATCGTTGTAGGTAGCATTTATATCGTTTTAGAGGATTAGGAGCAATTTGGGTGTCTTCCTGTTGCGGAAAATTTGACCTCTTCAAGATTTCGCGGTCTGCGGTTTATGTCGTTGCGTAATTTCGCTGCTTTGATAGTGCTTGTTAAGTTTAAGTTACTGTAATGGTAGCCGATATTTTACTTTTGAATTATCATGCTGTGAGAGAACTGCCTGATGTCTTCATATTTTCGCCCGCTTTACGTCGCTAACAGTAAAGTTTAATAAAATAAACTGTGTTAATTATGGCCATTATGTTTTGTGGCTTAAGAATAGGTAAAAGGTTAAAAAACAGTTAACCGATGGAGTTGGACCAGTATGAATCCAGGAAACAATGGCATCGGTAAAGGTTAGGTGTCGAATAAATAACGTGTTTTTATTATTGACTACGCAAAACCGAACCGATTTTGTTAAAATGCGGCACGAAAAGTGTGAGGGAAGACCTGATCGGTGAGCTGTTCCCCCCAAAATTCATACAAAGTCTAAAATTTCTTCAGGAAGCCAAAACTACGAAACTTACTTGACTCGGGTGATGATTTGGCGGTCAGGAACCATCATCGCGACGGTGTGGAATTAGATTTTTAAGTTCTCGGGGAGCTCTTTCCGGCCGGCGTAACCTGGATTCTGCAAAAAAAGTTCTATTTTTGGATATAAGAGACACGGTTTACCATGGGGATGAAAATTCCAAACTCGGGACACATTTCGACGATATCGCCGTCCGTGAACTGGAAGTTCTTTCGTTTTTCTTTTTTACTGGCTAGAACGACGGCTACTTGTTGGGCTGCCACTGAAAGAACTGGAAGCTCGATCCTGTTGAACTCGTCGAAACAGCCCCAGGAACCCGATTGAGCCAGACCTTTGTAGATGGGTCCTAAACTTCGATAATCCATTTGGTCCGAACAGTTGAAGACCACTACGTACTTGGCGAGAGTTTTACCCATGTCTTTGACGGTCTCTGTTTTGCCGGTACCGGCTGGTCCACACGGAGCGCCACCCATGCTCATGGATAAGGCCTGAGCCAGAGTTATGTAGCACCTAGAAGCCAAAATTTTTGACCACGTTGAGGACTTGTCTAGACGGACCTGTCCATGAGGGGAGTACACCCCAAGTACTCATTCTGGTACGAAAACGAAACGTCTATCTTATTGTACTCGATATCGTGGAACTTCACCCAGCTCGTGTTATCAAAAATTGAAAGTAGATGGTTCTGAAAGCTGTACTTTTTGGGCATTAGAGTCTTCTACAAAGCCGCATACCGGGAAGATTAGAATATCGTATGATTGGTGACTGGTAATAACAGCGTCGACCCATTTGTTAGTCTTTAATTAAGACTGAGTTTCCGCCACGAATTGCGTGTTCTACGTTATATTTTTCCGCCGAACACCAATCAAACCCGAAAAGTGATTTGTTTTTGCACAGTTGACATTTCAACGACCGGAAAGAGTACCCATTACGTTTAGGAAAGTTACAATGTCGACACATTGCCGCTTCTTACCGGCTTATTTCTTAAAGCCACCAGTGTCTAACTTTTTGCTCGTCTTTATGTCGCAAAAGCCCCTAATTAGTATGTGGTAGCGCGACATTTCGACACATCGCGTTTTGTCTGGAAACGAAATTAAGGTCGCTTCACCTTTAAAGGCCCGTACGCTTCGGTATGCCCGCCAAGTATAGGTGTTACGTTGGAATCTTCATTACCCAATGTAAACATACTCCAATATTAATAAGCACTCTGGAGTGAGCACTTAATTAGCATCCGGAAGAGGCAAGAACCGAATATTGAATAACAATCGCGTTATTGTTTAGTTTTCTGTATCAGTTTCTTCGAGAACGATGAGTTAAATTCCAATCTGCGAAGCCTTGATTAATAATTAAACTGTTTACATACCATGAAAGACAAAAAATATAGACAACAGTCGTTGTTTATACTCCGTCTCTTTTATCGTGCCATCGTTTAAACATGGTAATTTATTCTCGCGCTGGATATGCGCGATAATCGTTTTGTTTGATTGAAGCAATTTATATGTTGCATACTGGGTGTCCCACATTTTCCCGCATTTTTCCAAAAGCGCGCAACTTGTCATTACACTTGGTTTTTACATGTCGCAACCGCGCTCGACGAAACCGTGGCGAATTTCTGCGTACCATTGGTACCACTCATAATTACAAAGGTGCGCAGCTGGTTGAAATATCTGCGTTATTAATATTCTTTCGTTGAAATTATGCACGTGTGGTTGCAACGCAGCTAGGAATGCAAGAACGCACGGGCTTGAATTTTATTTGCGCTGCGTTATTTACGATGGGGAATTCTTGCGTTTTGCCCAAATTTGGTCGGCGGATTTTCGTGAAATTTTTATTGGTACTGTGAAGAACATGTGGCTCGTCGATCGTTTCCTCGCACGTTATGGGAATTTAATTGAATCTAATCATTACGATTTATTGGCGGTTTTAAGAGCGTTTGTGACGATTGTTCCACTTGTGCCAAATTCCGTTTTATAGGGAACAGATGTAGGATGGACGGATCGAACACACATGTGAAACTGTAATAATAATATATATGTATATATTTACGTAGCTGGTAGCATCTGCACGATATGGGAATTAATTTGTGTAATTGGTTAAGCGGAACAAGTCTTTTCGGTCTGGAAGGGCCTGATTTCGACAGTTTTTTACGTTAAAGCAAACATTTTTCGTCAGTAAAAGGAAATGTCATCAGGAATTCAAAATAGTCGAAACACGACGCATTATTTTAGAGAAGGAACGTCATAAATTTTTTCCAGAAACCAAGCTAAACCTAATTTAGTGCGTAAATCCAGTTAAACTAGACTCTATAGCGTTTTATTATTTAAAACTGTTTATTTTTACCTTGGCGCTCTTTCTTCATTCTTATGATAATCGCCAACACCCGATAATGAATAACAAGTAGGCCAACGAATACGATTAGTCGTGATTCGGGAGGACGTTTCTCGACACCACATTCTTGCCCATTTTCCTAATTGTTTTTTTTTTCTTTCCAGGTAAGCCCGTCTCTCCCTCTCCCTCGGGACCCAAGTGAGTGAAACTTGTCGTAATATTTAACGGTTCCGTGGCACGATATTTCGAAAATTTCTGATCTGACTCACGCCACAGGTCCGGCTTTCCACGCCAGCAATAATCCCCACATTCGGATGTTTTATAGCACCTCGCCGCTATCTAAAATGCGATATCAGGGCCGGCCCGCAATTACGGTAATTAATTTTTAGCCCGGTCTTAGTCATCGAGAGAGTTATTTTAATTACGCCAACTGCGGCGCGCCGATCAATTAGAACGACACACAATAGAAAAATGCGATAGAAATGTTCCAGTGGAATCATTAGACGCCCGTATTGAATGGGACGATTACATTAACAATTGAATTTAAATATATCTAATGGGTGTATTGTAAAGGTTCGTATTTCAGTGCCCCCGTATTGTTAAGTCGTTATTTTTGTTTGAATACCACAAATGCTGTCACATGTGAATATGCGGGCCTTTGAATGGCTTCAAAGGAATTCGGCATTAATTGGCCGCGATTGAGCCCACTTTGTTCTTGCATTTTGTGTTTGTTTCACGTTTTGGATTTTTTATTCGATTGGCGATTTGTTTGCGAAGTGCGTCTTGGTTTGATAAGGATTTGCTTGGGTCAAGGAGAAGAACGAACGGGGACGAGTATGCGATAAATCGAATGTCATGTGATGTGGTTGTGCATTCAAAATTCGATTTAATTAAATCTGCGAAATATCGTTTAAAAAGTGGTCACACTTGCTGCTGCACTCAATCGAAAGTGGGTTTTTCAACCCAAAATATATTCATTAGCAAATTTTTTTGTTGAGTAAACATGGCGCAAATCTCGAAACGTTTATTTATCGAACATATACAATAACAATTACTTATTACAAGCATTTGGCAAAGTTCCAGTACTAATGGTGCATTCGCGAGCATTATTAAACGCGAGACGTGATGAAGAATCTTTAACCAAAACCCATAATGTTTGTTTTAATATCCATAATATTTGAAATAGTTTTAAAGGAACGAAGTGTTGGAATGGTGCTGAAGTACTTCCGAAACAGTGACCTGTATTGTCACAGTGAAGAGAATCGAGATTTTTTTAGGTCGTAACGCCTCGACTGGCGAGGTAAATATTCCTTCTATCCTTGTTGTTGGATCTGGACTTTTTATAATCAAAATAGCAGATGTTTCCAAAATAAATCTGTTAGTATGTTCCCTCCGACCTTTCAAGAATGCCATCATTTTCGTCGATTTGAGCCCGCATTTATTTTTCCAAATTAAATTGTTGATTAAAATCGAGATGTTTCTAGCAAGTGCGGTTGTCGACCCACCTTGAGTGACAGCTAGTGCGGTACTGTCTCAACTTTCGTAAAATAACCGCAGGTGCTTTCCAACATTCGCGGACTCATTTCGTTACCTAACGTTTTTTTCCCTATCCGAAGCAAAAAAATCTTACGCTTTAAAACAAATTAAAAATAGCTCCCACCATAATTCCATAACTCCGCAACAATCGTAATTCGTTATCACTTTCCGCTTCCAAGCCGTTAGCGTCATCCTTCAGATTACCAAAAAATCCCAGACGGAATCCATTCGTTACCCCGAAAGCAATTTGTGTAAAACATTTCCGACGTACCTTTGGTTTGTCCATTTCAAGATTGATTTGTCACTTCGAATTAGACTTTATTGACTACTTTCCCTCTTCTTCCGTCTACGTGCCGCGACTTTCCTCCACGACATCTGCAATTTAATGCGCAAATCTGCACTTTTCTGATTCCGTAATTCGTAGAAACTTATCCAGAACCGTAATGAAATTTACATTCGACGAGACGAATTAAACTCGGATGTATTTGCATTTCAATACGGTCCTTGTAAACGCATACTAATGCAGGATTTTCTTTGGGAGTTGACGTTTTCTACCCACATGTGAATAGCAGTCAGCGTCTACTCGAGGAATGCGCGATTTCTGCACATACCTCGACACATCTGGCGCGAATTTAGCCGAATTATAAATAAAGCCGGCGAAAATGGGGTGCGAAGAGTCGACAAATAGGATAACGCACGAAAATTCATCCATACAATTAAAAAATAATATCTAATAAGTAGACGCCAATTTGGCTTCGTTTCTTCGAACGTCTATTATGAACCCATCATCGACCGCACAACAAAACCGCCCCCGGCGCCGCCGCCCCCGACAGCGACTTGGTCCTCGGAAACAATGCAACATGACGCAGTTTAAGCGGCGCTCTTCTCGACTCCGTAATACGGCAGGCACCGATGGTGCAGGTGCCCAGATCGTTGCCATGGTTCCTGTGCTCCGGATGGTAAGCGTCCGTTGCCTCGGCAACCGTTATTGAGGTCCTTGCTCCGGAGACACAGTGTACCACATAGAGGCGAGCCGCTGTTGCTACATCGCAGCCTGCTCCGGATTCGGTCGGCAGGAGCGCACGGAAAAATGCCGATCCGGGAAGGAGCGAAAGAGTGCGATGGGCGCCCGGAGAGATGGGTGGTTTTGGTAGCTTCATCAGGTGGTTGCATTGTCTACCAAAAGTACCTCAAATTTGACGAAAATGTCATTTTAGCCAAGGGAATAACAAATCATAACGACATGTGGAAGTCCTGGAGCTAGTCATCTCGGGACCACTTGGGCGTTGCGTGGGCACAAGTCCCGTGTTCTTAGACCATTGTGGATTTTTTCAATGTCTGCAAAGCCGTCGTAAAGCTGTCTCACGTGTGCATTGATCTTGTAATTTGTCCTGTCGTTTTCGCTTGGAAGAGTTTGCGACATTTAAGGAAAAATTAACAACCTCTTTGTATTTGAAGATAAAATTTTGGACGATTCTAGAATCACCTGAACGAACCTATCCCATCACGTTCCACCTCCCCCGCTTGTCATTATTAGCCGTTTAATAATCAATTTACGACGTCTCTATGTAAAAAACGACGGGCTAGCCCACTTCCGCCCCATCACGGCTCGGGTAAACGAAGGGTGCGTCACGGGGGTGGTTTTGGAGTGCTTCTTTGTTAATAATCGGGGAGTGCCCAATCTACACATATCACAAAGAAAGGTGATAATATCGCTTTGAGGATAATT